ACACGCGATACGACTGAAGAGGAGCAGGCGGGGTACTGGAGAAGAGTGCAGAGACGCATGGATGACGTCGGACCGATTCCACAATGCATCTTCGATGACGATGAATATGAGACCCGCGTGCGTGGCGCCAATAACGTCCTGGTACGTATCGACGCCTCAAATGCTGTACATTATAAGACGGCTGGAGGCATGGGAATGTGGCCCTCGAATGACGCTTCTCACAAACTTGTGAAAGCTGTCAGGTTAATAACACAAAGCGGCTTTGAGGCGTTTGTTAACCTGCCGGCCTGTTTTTCTCTTGGAAACAAATTAATTGCAAGGTTGTTTGAGGTGGATGGGGAGAATGACGTTATTTATCGACTATTGACGAACCGTTGAGTGTTGTTACCGGACATTTTGGGGCGGTGCACTCTGCACGCATTCCTGCGTAGAGTCTTTGTGGAAAATGTAATGCCGGGCCTGTCGTCGCGCACGCAAATGTAGCGGGCAGCAATGAGCGTGAGGACCCTCGGGCCATTGCGGCATTTTGGAATCAGCAGGTGCGTCAGTGCGAGGTAGCGGTATCAGCTGAGAATTTCAGAAGTGAACGACAAACCCAACGTGGGCGGCAACCAGAGGGAGAAGGAAAAGGAGGAGGGGAACAAGCAGCTTGAGTTTACTGGTGAAGTATTTTAGGGAGTATGATATATTGCCGAGTGTGTTTGTGTGTGGGTAGGAGGCGCACTTAGGGACTCGCTCTGCCGTGCGCCAAATGATTATTTGGCCAGCGCTACCACAGCAGCACCTTTTTTTTTGTGTGGTTGCGAGAAAAATTGTGTGGGGAATGATGGCGCCTTGTGGGTATACGCTGGCAGTATTCGATTGGTGATGTCTCCTCGCTGTTCCCAGTTTGTTGCTGCAGAGAGTTTGGGCGAGAGGGTAAGTTTTGCATGCTGAGTGGGCTCACCGGCAGGAAAGCAAATGCGGCGGCCACCACAGTCCAGAGGTCAGGGGCAAACCGAATTATTGTGAGTGCTTTTGTGCCTTGGCGTGATGTTTTTCCCTTTTGTTTTTTGGGTGCCATTGTTTTTGGTTGGCGTGCCGCTCCAATTGGTGGTGCTGCATGCACCGCTGAGAGCCTCGAGCAAACACCGTTGGCGTCTCTCTTTTTGTTGGGTTGCCGTCCTGGGCGCATGCGCCTCTTCCGTCTTGTTCGGGCTGCACGCACTGACCGGACAGTCTGATACTACGGCTGCGCTGGCGTCGCCCTCGCTCTTGGGCCGAACGAAGCAGCAGGAAACGGTGATGCATGCGTTGGTTTATTTTGTATTGTTTTTATTGTTTTTTTCAATATTAT